TATTGGTGCTGAAAAACATCCTGCAGCTTCAGATACAATACTGACAATGAGATTGGGGGGAACTGGAAGACGAGTAAAAAAATAGAAGGGAAAATTGGAGGATGGGTGATGACCAGAGGAGGAGGAAGAGGAGGAATGGCTGTGGGCCGTCAAGATTCAACATTGTCGGTCAAACTGATGATGTGATTGAGTGGCACACGCCTGCCAGCTGCACGCTGAAGAACCCCGACATTTCCAACACACCTACTGGTTATCTTCGAAGTGCTTCGAGTATTCTCCTTGTTTTGTTTCCTCGCTGTGTTCTCCGACGCCAACTCTTGGTCTCACGTGGAAGTAACAGGAGATGAGTTTGACTATTAACAAAGTCTGGTAAGAGAGGGAGGCTGAGGGAGCCGAGATAATAGAGTATCAGGAGTGGTGGGATTGCCAATGTGTGGGGAGGAGGAGGCGGACTCGTTCGCCTTGACCATATGTGACAAAATTGAAATCGAAGCAAATTGTCAACCGCATATACATTGCTTTTTGCTTCCTGTTGCCGTACCATGATTGCGCGACCGCGAGTCTTTACATGGAGGTTGATATTATCTTCGTTCACATCAACACCCGTGTCAGGAGACACTCTTGCTGTCTCCTGACGAATAAGACCACAACACTCTGTGTTCACTTTTGTTGAAACGACCTCGTGAGTGTCAATAACCGCAAGGAAAAAACAAGAATAGTGACGTGTAAGATAAATGTTATTATTACTGTTTCCTTGGAGATGCGCAAAACCCACCGGGGTCATACAGCGCCATGAATTTGATACAGTATAAAACATCGATAAAAATTTGAAATAAGACACATGTGCAGTATTGATTCATTTTACTGAGGAAAACGTTTTGCCACGAATAGCCAAGAAGAAGCCATTGGCCGTGAAACGTTTCCTCATTAAAATTTCCTATTACTGCACACGTCTTATTATTTATTAGTATTATTATTCTTAATCGCAAAATAATAACTCAGGAAAGAGACGAATCGCAAACCAGATTCATCTGTAGAAAACCTGTCTTTGTTTATGTGGCCCATGCTAACCTTCCTAGTGTATAGAAATATACTCACACCAAGTTGGAAAAATCTTATTAGGCCAGCAGAACGTAGTGGTTAGAGCACTGGCTTACCAGTTTTGTGTCTGGAGGGCCATGGGTTAGATTAATGTCCATTTCATGATTATTATTATTATTATTATTATTATTATTATTATTATTATTATTTTTATTAAAATATATAATAAATATAAAAGTAATACAAAATAGCAGTAGAATTAGCAATAATAACGTACAAACGAAATAGTTAATAAAATCTAACCTCTTTGTACAGTCGCTCTAATGAAGCTTATATGCACTATTGTGAAGATGCACTTACAGCCTAATGGGAGGTTAGGTTTATGGGGGAGGGATGGGGAGAGAGGACGATAAAGGGTAGAAAGGGTCGAGGAGGTGGTGCTCTTCCGAAATGGGGATAGAGAGGGAGGGGTAGCCTATGCCTGGTTGTTGGAGCTGAAGCCTTTATCGAAGGGGAAGAGGTGATAAATTAGAGAGTAGGGAAGGGAGAGGAGAGTGAGAAATATGTAGGTAGGTTGTGAGCGGGGTGTGATGAGAAGAGTGAGGGTATGCATCCTAAGGAGGGCTATGTGTAAATTACTAATTTCAGGCTTTTTGGATATATTCTGTTACATTTAAACCAACAAAAGTCGTACAGATCCGCTTAGTTTCCATACACTGGATAATCTTTAAAAAGAAACTCAGTCTGTTGGAAATTTATTCATGTAAAATGCAATGCACCCATCCCTCTCTCGCCTTCTTCTTCTGTTACTTTGTCGTGTAACTCTAAAAGATTTGTGATACAAGATTTCTCATCTCTAAATCCTTGCTGGCTGTTTTTGAAATCATTTCTCTTATTACCTTACATAGTATGACTATCACTGGGAAAGTTTGTAGTTTAGCACTTTCTCTCTGACTCCTTAGTTATTGAGACTACAATAGCTGTCTCTACAGATATCTAACAATTGTTCCGCAAACATTGATTTTTTTAGCTAGTGAGTCAGACAGGGCTTCTGCACCCTCTCGCAGACCCTATGGTGATACCTCAGGTCCTGTTGCCTTTGTATCCCGTTCAAATCAAAAGCTCTTTTTTTGCATAGCTTTCTCCCTGTTGTGTGTAAGATTTTTACCCGTTGGTGTATCCTTTTTCTGTGATCCTCTGTTGCTGTCACTGTTTACATTAAGAAAAACTCTCTCAATTGTTTGCTCACCGCCTCCCAACTTCCTTGTCACTTTTTGCTAGCTCTTCTTTCTTCCTTTTACAGTATTATTACTTGGTATTTTACTATTGTTTTTACTTCCGAAGTGACTTGTTAGATCGTTTTGATTCAGAATGAGATTTTTTGCTGCTCTCATAAACTGTTGCTCACTCTTCCACTTTTGTCTGTATATTTCTGGTTCTTCTGCTTACTTTTTTTTCTGCCCTTCATTTTATAAAGTTCATCCATACTCTTGAGCTTTTATCTTTGTTTCTGTGCATTTTCCAACCACGGGTTCTTTGTTCTTACTGTTTCCTCTTCTGAATATGAAGTTCTCCTGTCACTTGACACTTTTCGGCTTGGTGCTCCATCTTATTCTTTGACTTTTCTTCTGGTTCCCTTTCCCATTGCACTGCTTTCACGAATTTTTTCATTCCTTCCAGCTTTCACTTCTGAAACCTATTTTCTCCCACCTCCATCTGTTTTTTCTTTCCTCAATCTTCATTTCCACAACACATCGAAATTCAGCATTGTATGGTCTCGAAAAGTCTATTTCATCTATTTCAGATACACTTAGGGTAAATACTAGATCCAGCCTTGCTGGTTCATCCCCTTCTTTCTCTCTCTTAGTGCCGAGCCTTTGACATTCAGACACAGTTTTCCATCACCTTTCACATTTCTGGTGGCCAGTGTGGTTCCCAGTTCTTCCAGCCTCTTTTTTTTCAGTTGAGGTCTCCTATGATTACTCACATTGTTTCGGACATATGAGTGTTTTTTGTTTCTTCAGCTATGATATCATCCATTCCTTTGTTGACTGAGCATTCTTGTCTTGATATCCTACTATTTGGTGGTGAGTTGTAGATCACTGCTACTACTGTTCCGGGCCTCAGTCTTGATTGTTCCCATTACTGTCATTTAACTAGTTTCTGGTTATCATTTCATCTCTTAAAAACTCCATTAGTTTCTGATGAGCGCCTCTCTTCCCCATCCAACTGTTTCCTCTTTCTTTCCTCGTTGATTAATATCCAGCTGGCGATAAAGCATCTATTTTGATTTCAGTTTTGTGTCTATGATAGTTTGAGATATGGCGCTGCTTCTGTTGTATGTTCCGTCAAGTCATCACTCTTGCTTGTTAATCCATCTGCATTTATGTACCATACTCTGATAGTTTATTATTCGTTGGTATGCATTGTGGAAGCATTCTGCTGCTTGATCATTGGCAAGGAGGGGAGAGGTGAGGCTTGATCTGGTGAGTGCAATGTAATATTGTGGATGGAACAGGCTTATAGTCGTAGATAATTGGGAGAAAGAGGAAAGGGTGTGGGGTTATTATTGGGGAAGGTGGGGGTTGAGCCTTGAGTCTGGCCTACTATAAGATGGGCAAGATTTCTGGAGGGTGGCTGTTCCCAACACTTGCCATCCACCCCTGTGCTTCATTTCCCTGTGTGTATGTATGTGTGTGTATGTGTGTCTGTGTGTGTGGATGGTTACACATGAACGTCAGGGCATATGGAAACATGGGCGTTTATGGATTGTGTGGGAACACGGGCGTGCGGGAGTTATGGGCGTGCGGTTGTTATGGGCGTGTGGGCGTGGCTGCTGCCATAATGACCGCTGTCCATCCCAGCCCCCCGAGGCCCAGCCCTCGTGACGTCAGTGGACACGCTCTCTCATTGGACACACTAACAAGACCAATCAATATGGCTGCCAGCCACTCCGATTCCCTTTTTTTTTTATATTCTGATCTGATGAGAGGCGAGGCGCCCTACCCACGCCATTGCCCCTGTGTTGCCATCATTACTGTTGTTCCATTACGCTGTGGTGCTGTTGCTACCGTTGCTCCGTTACTGTATTGGTGTTGTTGCTGCTCTATTATTGTTACTGTTGATCCAATACGTAGTGTTGCCACTGTCACTGTTGCACCAGCAGCACCACTGTTGCTACCGTTGCTCCGTTAAGCTGTAGTGGCGTTGTTGCTACTGTTTTTTCTTACTGTTGTTCCATTACGAAGTGTTGCCATCGTCACTGTTGCTCCGTCAGGTTGTGCCATTGTTGCTACAGTTGATCCATTAAACTGTAGTTGCGCTGTTACTGTTATTTCATCTTGACTGTTGGTATATTACGTAGCGCTGCCATCGCTACTGTTGCTCTGTTGTGTTGCTCTTGCTACCGGTGCTCCGTTAAGCTGTAGTAGCGCTGTTCCTCTTGTTCCACTAAGCTGTGGTGGCGCTGTTACTGTTATCCACGAACGTTGTGCTGGTGTGGATCCGTCAAACTGTGTTGCCACGAAGACCAACATACTAGCCACTGTTGTCTCTGAGGTCCAGGAAACTACCGCCTTTTCCATCGCCTCATTCACCATTTCCATCATTACATTCACCATTTCCATCATCACATTCACTATTTCCATCACACCATTTCCATCACACCATTTCCATCACACCATTTCCAACACACCATTTCCATCACACCATTTCCATCACACCATTTCCAACACACCATTTCCAACACACCATTTCCATCACACCATTTCCATCACACCATTTCCAACACACCATTTCCAACACACCATTTCCAACACACCATTTCAACACACCATTTCCACCACCATTTCCATCACACCATTTCCAACACACCATTTCCAACACACCATTTCCAACATCACACCATTTCCAACACACCATTTCCAACACACCATTTTCCAACACACATTCAAACCATTTCCAACACAACCATTTCCAACACACCATTTCCATCACACCATTTCCATCACACCATTTCCATCACACCATTTCCATCACACCATTTCCATCACTCAGTTTCCATCACTCAGTTTCCATCACCATTTCCATCACCATTTCCATCGCCTCTGGCTCCCTGTCATGGAGAGTAAAAAAGAAATACGTTAAGATACAGTTTAATAAGACAGTTTAAAAATAGTTTAAAAAGATATCTTAATCTTATAGCTTCATAAAATGTATTTTTTTTGTGAATATTCTTATTTTATTACTCAGTATTATTGTTAATATTGTTATTACTACTACTACTATTACTTCTACATCTACTCTACTACTACTACTACTATTACTTCTACATCTACTACTACTACTACTACTATTACTTCTACATCTACTACTACTACTACTTTTTCTACTACCACCACCATCACTTCTACTATCACTACCCCTCTACTTCTGCCAGTACTACCAAGACTAATACTACCACGACTACTACCACTACTACTAGTACCCCAACTACTAGTACCCCAGCTACTATCATAATTATTACCACTACTACTCCTACTACCACTACTACTACTACTACTACCACTACTACTAGTACCCCAACTACTATCATAACTATTACCACTACTACTCCTACTGCCACTACTACTACTACCACTACTACCCCAACTACTAGTACCCCAACTACTGAAGGAGGGGTGTTAATGTTGCAGTTTAAAAACTGTAGTGTAAAGCACCCTTCTGGCAAGACAGTGATGGAGTGAATGATGGTGAAAGTTTTTCTTTTTCGGGCCACCCTGCCTTGGTGGGAATCGGCCAGTGTGATAAAAAAAAAACTACTCCTACTACCACCACTACTACTACTACCACTACTACTACTACTACCACTACTATTACTACTACCACTACTATTACTACTACCACTACTACTACTACTACCACTACTACTACTACTACCACTACTACTACTACTACTACCACTACTACTACTACTACCAGCCGATTGTCTCACCATGAGAGGTAAAGGTACAAATTTGAACGCTTTCTATTTTTCCTCCACTACGTCGTTGCCAGACGGAATGTGGAGTGTTTTTTCCTAATTGGTTTTATACTAATTTCATTATTTGGACAATGTAACCTAATTCAACATAACTTAAAATAATTTAACCTAAAGCAAAACATCATAGCCTAACCTTAAACCACGATTTGGAAAACAAATCGTTTCAAAATGAGAATGGGTTCGTCACTGCCCTTTCTACACCCATGACTCCTGTCCTGGTCAACCAGATGGACTAAGAACTCCAAGGGCTATTTCGGGTTTAGTCCTTGTAATGGGATGTAAATGGTTTAGAAAACCAACAAGTTAAAAAATGGGACATTTGAGCAACATTTCGATCTTCACTGAGACGTTTCGCCAGCCAGTGGCTTCTTCAGTATTGTTTTGGACTGCAGAAACGTTTCCTCAATAAAGAGTCCCAAGTGTTGCAACAACGTCTCATTATTCAACTCTTATAATAATAAAGTCGATAGGCTTTAAACCCATTTAACCATTAGACATCTTTGTGTCAGCAAATTGAAATAAAATGTGTTTTGAGTTTGGTTATTTTAGGTAAATTTACAATATTAAAATGATTTTCCAGTAAAATAGTTAGATTTTTTGGCCTAAAATAGAAAAATATCTTTTTGGTAACAAAACCAAATTAGAGTTTAATTAGGTTTGGTTATTCCTATCTGGAGGGTGTCCGGGGAGGGGGGGGGCAAAGCTCCCGGTGGCTACTAAAAATTTTTCTCCCTATGGGTAGAAAACGTGTCTCCACTACACTATCAATCTATTACCATCACAAAATGCATAACCCGACGTATTTCGAGCAGCTGAAGTAAATGTCGACGAATTAAGCATATGGAAGAGGAAATCTCACAGAAGGCAAAAACCACGAGGAATAGTAGTCTGTATACCCTGAGCGCTGGCGTGGTTCAGGCATTCTACTGAGGAAGACCTCAGTCAGAGGTCGGGTTTGTATCCTGTGCAATTTTCCCTCCCAACGATCTGTGTTCATTACTCTTTCTTGCACAAACAAATTATTGCTATTATTATTATTGTCATTATTATTGTTATTACTATTATTATTATTAATTTAATACCAGTGTTGCAGAGACAAACAAGTGTGCGAATGAGCTGACCAACACACCCAGGACAGCCCTGGTGAGCAGACTGTGACCCTTGTTTACCAACTCTTGCATATTAGCTTCAATTCGATATTTTCTAACTGCTTATTTAATTGCTTCATAAGGAGCTGAATTTTGGTTGGCTAACAGCCCTCGAAGGACAGAGAGAGAGAGAAGAGAGAAGAAGAGAGAGAGAGAGAGAGGAGAGAGAAGAGAATAAAGAAGTGAGAGGGGTGGTCCCACCACCACCAAGCAACTAGAGGCAGCTCGAGAGTGAGGGAGGGAGAGAACTGAGTGGGAGAGGGAGTCTATCGCTCATCATCTAAATCCTGTGTTGTCCCCTTCCCTTCCTCTTTCTTCTCTCTCCTCTCTCTTCCTCTCTCTCTCTCTCCATCTCTCATCTCTCTCCTCCTCTCTCTCCCTCTCTTTTCTCCTCTTTCTCTCTCTCTTTCAGCGTAAAGCCGATCATCGTCATTATTTCGAGGTTGGGTGTGTTTGGCCAGACACGGTTTAAGGGATGAAGGGGGTGTGGGGAGGGGTCAGGTACCTGGGGTGGGGCCTAAAATGTGGAAAGGGGAGGGTGATAGGGAGCGTCAGAGGGGAAAGGCGCTAGGGTCGTGCTGCTGAGGGGCGAGAGATAGTGAGAGGATGAGAAGAATAGGGATGATGCAAGGGTAGGGAATGGGGAGGGGTTTAAAGGAGAGTAGAGGGGATGGGGGTAGGGGAGTGGGAGGGTTATCTTGATAATGTAGTGGGTAGAGGGGAGGGAGTGTATCGAGTGTTGGGTGATAAAGGGGGTGTGAAAGGTGGGGAGATGAAAGGTGTGTGAGAGGTGGATAACACGTATTGATGGATGAAGCACCATCGTTTGCTGGACAGTGAAGTGTGGTGGGGTGGATTATTGGGGAGGGGGAGGAGGGATTTGGGAAGAAGGGGGAGTGGGGGAGGCCGTACAAGCATACAGGGCGACGGAGAGGCGTGGGAGGGAATAAAACAGACACCGATCTGAACGGTAAACTTTTCAGTAATAAACGCATTTTCCTTAGTTTATCAGTTTAAGACGAACAACTACTGTCTATAGTTACAACCTTAATTTTTACAGGGGTGGACCGATTAGCCAGCGGAAGGCCTCGGATGGTTGGTTATTATCTATGTTCCCTCATCTTGGTCCTTATCGTTAAATTTCTTTGTTTATTCGCCGAGAAATATTGCATGTCGTAACCGTCTTTTCAGTTTTTCCAGCTTTATGAGACGTGCACCAGTACACGTATATTTTCTTAATGAGTTTTAACAACAAATTACATTAAACAGGTGATATCACAATATGCAAAACAACCATTGTGAAAGAATAGTGAAAAATCACGAAAGCACTTGGAAATTCACAATTTTTTCACAGTAGTTGTTTTGCATACTGTGATATCACTTTGTTTAATTGATATTTTTTATAAAACACAGCACAGGTTTGGACAAGGTTCCGCTAAGGATCCTTAGCTTTATTGACAACTTAAGAGAAGTTACCTACATCAGCTCATTTGAATGCATTTTTATTGTTATGACACATACAAGTAAGGAACATGAAGTTGGAGTATCTGTGGGCCAGCATTTTCATTTGATCAGCTGACTTTATCTCGTTGACATCATAATGCTGTACGAATGTGTTCAGACTCCGAGTCATCCCATGGGATAACGGATCTCAGATGATGTTATGTTCCTGGAGAAGTTACAGCCAGAGGACGTTGCTGTTTCGTTGCTTTACGATATGTTGTTTCATGCTGATGGTGCGTAACTTGAGGCTGATTATATGTGTTGTGGAAGAACATTTTTAAAAAGCCAAATTTCCCAGTGACTGGTGCTCCCCTAGCATCAGTCCCCACTGGTTCGCCCTTGCATCAGTCACTGGAGCTTCCCTTTGCTCAGATTCCTGGTGCTCCCTTGCATCAGTCACTGGTGCTCCCTTGCATCAGTGACTGGTGCTCCCTTGCATCAGTGACTGGTGCTCCCCTGCATCAGTCACTGGTGCTCCCGTCATCAGCACTGGTGCTCCCTTCCATCATGACTGGGTGCTCCCTTTCATCAGTGACGTGGTGCTTCCCTTGCATCAGTGACTGGGTAGCTCCCCTGCATACAGTCCACTGGTGCTGACCTTGCCATCATCACTGGTGCGGGTGCCTTGCATCAGTGGACTGGTGCTCACCTTGCATCAGTGACAGTTGCTCCCCTTGCTCGAGTGAACTGGTTCTTCCCTTGCATCAGTCACTGGTGCTCCCCTGCATCAGTCACTGTGCTCCCTTGCATCAGTCATTGGTGGCTCCTTGGATCATTGACGGTGCTCCCCTTGCATCAGTCACTGGAGGCTGCCCTGCATCAGTCACTGGTGCTCCCTTCATCATCATTTGTTGCTCCCTTGTATCATCACTGGTGCCCCCTTGCATCAGTCACTGGTGCCTCCCCTGCATCATTCACCTGGTGCTCCCCTGCATCAGTCACTGTGCTGCTCCCTCAATCAGTCACTGGTGCTCCCCTGCATCCAGCCACTGGTGCTCACCCTTGCAATCAGTCACTGGTGCTTGTCCTTGCTCAATCACTGGTGCCTATGCCCTTGAATCAGTCACTGTGCTCCGTTGCATCATCCACTGGTGCCCCTTGCATCAGTCACTGGTGCTCTACCCCTTTGCAATCAGTCATTGGTAGCCCCCTCATCAGTCACTGGTGCTCCTCCTGCAATAGTCACTGGTGCTCCCTTGCATCAATCAGTGGTGCTACCCCTTGCTCAATCAGGGTGGAGCACCGCTTGCAACATCACACAATCACTGGTGCTCCCCTGCATCAGTCCAATGGTGCTACCCTTGCATCACCACTGGTAACCCTTGCAATCAGTCATGGTGCTCCTTGCATCAGTCACAGGTACTTCCCTTGCATCAGTCACTGGTGTTCCCTTGCATCATCTCATGGTCTCCCCTTGCATCA